GGTTCTGTAAAACTTGCACTGGAATCTAGAGAACTAAACAAACAAGTGCATAAGAATAAATACCAAATGCCCAATATTGAAGAACTAATGGACATTGTAGGGCAAACTATCAGCGAACGCAAACAGGGGGATGTTTTTTTACAACGATGGACCTCACGTACGCATACGGTCAACTTCCGTTAAATGAAAACACTAGTAAACATAGCAATTTTTCATTGATGGGAGGCCGTTCTACCGGTACATATCGATTCAAAACAGGATTCTACGGATTGACAACCATGCCGGCGGAATTTCAACGGGTCATGGATGCCATTCTGGCTGAATTTCCGTGCGCGCATGCGTTCATTGATGATATATTAGTAATTTCTAAAGGTACCAAGATCGAACAAATCGCTTTAGTGGAGAAGATTTTAACGAAACTCGATAAAGAAAATATGGCTTTGAAGCTAGAAAAATGTCAATTTGCGAAAAATACTTGCGAGTGGTTAGGCCACCGGATTACGAAATCAGGGATTACACCAATGGTGCGGAAAACAGACCCAATTGACAAATTAACCGCCCCGAAAACGCTCTCTCAGTTGAAATCGTTCATGGGGTCAATCCATAGCCTTCACAAATACTTACCGGCGTTAGCGGAAACTTCGGCGCCTCTACGTCCACTCCTAAGTAAGAAGAACGAATTCCTCTGGACAATTGACTGCCAAACAGCGTTCGAATCGATTAAGAAACAAGTCGCGAACATTGTCGAACTTAAGCATTTCGACGTACATAAGGACATACGTATCGTGTGCGACGCAAGCCATAACGGTTTGGGGGCGGTACTCGAACAACTAGGCGCCGAGGGTTGGCGACCAATATCATTTGCGTCCCGGTTTTTAAATGCGGCCGAAAAGAAATATTCGACGAATGAGCTAGAAATGCTGGCCGTAGTTTGGGGTTCCGAATATTTCAGAAATTATATTTTCGGGCGGAAATTTACTGTGGTGACAGATCATAAGGCTTTGATATCTTTATTGAATGGGAACAATAAGAAAAACAAGACTATGTTCAGTCGATTAACTCGCTGGATTGATAGAATTATCCCCTTTGATTTTGTCATTGAACACATGCCTGGGGCTAAAATTGGCCTGGCGGATTACCTATCAAGGCATCCGGTGGGGGAAGCCACGAAAGTTAGTCTTTATGATAACACGTTCACAGTGGCAAAATTGAAATCAATTACCAATTCACTCGGATATATTGATACCAATAAAGGGATCATTAAAGCATCAAAGGAATCAATTGTTTCAGCTAAAGATATACAAGTTGGAAACGATAAAGTTAACATTCCACCGGAAGAGGGCGTCAAAACGCGTGACTGTCGGCTAACCAATCAGAAGCCACTAAAACGAATAGCTGAGTGTAATGACCGGGAAAGCGCAAAAGTAGTAAAGTCAATCACCGAATGTAAACTACGTGAGTCTGATTTTAATTCCACAGTAAACAGTAGTCCTCCATTTAACAAAACAAGTTATCGATCTAACAAAGTACACATATCTACAATGACATCACTTAATTTGAAGAAATTAAATAAATTACTGTTGAAACATCCAGAAATGACGAGCGGCAGTAGCAGCGAGGTGGAGATTGTGGATGCACGATTGGAGGCGGAGACGCATCACACCAGGGACATCCGATGCAAAACAGTCATCTCCATTCCTTCGGCATTCGGAGGTGAACTCTTTCCGGCGGCATACCCAGCAGGAGGAAACGTCATCATGTCAGTAATTCCCCGGGACTGCAAGATAGTCCGCAAAAGCAGTGCATTGCCGGAGCTATTCAACCTGAAACTCGTTGAAGCGAACTATAAAGGGGACCCCCAGATGCGCGCGATAAAAGAACTGGTGGAGAGTAAGGACCCGGAATTGGAAAAGAAGGTCAGAGCAATGGGTGCCTACCTCGGACAGCACACACATGATTTCCACGTGCGGGAAAATTGTCTGTGGATGGACGAACGACTCGTCATCCCCATACCACTCAGGAAGGCTGTGGTTAATCGGATACATGCGTTTCACCATGGGCGCTCGAGTATGTTCGACGCTGCAAGGGATGTCTGGTTTCCCTATCTCCACCGGAGTTTAGTCGCAGCTGCGGATGGGTGCAAGGAATGCACTGATGCAGGTAAAAGCCTTAAACCATTATGCGCCAAAGGTGATGTTGCGAAAATCTATGAACCACGGGAGCCGAACGAATGCCTACAGCTTGATTTTTGGGGTCCGATTAGATACTTAAATGAATCAAGTAAATATGTCTTGGTAGCGGTTGACCGATTCTCACGTTGGCCCTCTGCAATGATCTGCGGAAATAATAAAAGCGACAAGGTCCTTAAGTTCATTAAACAATACATATCTCAACATGGTGTCCCTAGGAAAATTTTTATGGATCAAGGTACAAGTTTCACATCGAATGCAGTTAAATCATTTTGCAATTCCGAAGGAATTGAAATAATTTATTCACCCGTGAATGATCATCGTGCAACCGGGTGTGTCGAACGTACCATTGGCAGTCTGAAAAACTTTGTCTTAACTTACGCTAAAGAAAAAGATAGTGGAAACTTAGAATCAATGATAGAACGAGCCTTGAGTGCTCTAAGATTTGCCCCAAATGCTACTCTCAAAATATCGCCGTTTGAAGCTCATCACGGCAGAGAAGCTAATACGGTACTGCGAAATCTTACGAAAAAGCCAACTCTGCAAAACCTAAATTGGGCCAGAGTGTTGAAACAAAAATCTGCCTATTTAGATTCTACTGACCCCAGAACTCCGAAGACCCTCCAGCCCATGGCAACGGATTGGGAAGAACGATCCGACGTGGAGTTTGATGTCGATCATATGAACCACCCTAGGCGACTGACACAAAGTCAACTAGTTTCGGCGGCGGATGGAACACCAATGGCTGACGGGGACGGGAAACAGGCTTGTGGGGGAAAGTCTAAACAGCCAAGTAAACGGACCGAACTTTTGTTCCAACGACTTAAGGATAGCAATAAAAGGTATAGACCCATAAACCAAAAAGTAATTCGCGAATCTAAGCACACTCTAACTCTAGCAAATGGCTCTGTACTTAGGAAAAGTGGGGTTGCCGAGAAAGTCATCAAGACCAACGCGCCAACCACGGCGAGTAAGCTAACACTACCACCCCCAGCTATGAGTGCATTGAAACGTCGGGCGGAACTGAAGCGAGCAGCAAACGAACAGGCGGCGGGGACGAGCACACAGAGTAAAGCAAGCGCACAGAGTAAGGCTGATAACAGAGCGCGAGAATTTTCACCAGCGGAGGAGGCAGATTCGGATTCGGAGTACGAGCCAATAACGATTTCTAAACACGCAGGGAACTCAAAAACAGCACCAGGGCGAGATGTGGAAGGAAATGAACCAGAGGTGAATAACGATGTAGAAGACGGAATTGAAAGACCAAACTTATCCGAAGGAAGCGGAGCTAGGAAATCCCAAGGGGTGGACACGGAGGTCCAGACTATGAGCACCGAACAAGGGGGAAGTGCCCCAAATTTGAGTAACGAAGGACGAGGGGAGAAACCATCTAAAAAGAAAGGGGAACGAGTACGACGCTTACGTCTCGTATCATACTCTAGTCAAGAATCAGAAGATGGAACAGGATCACGGAAAAGTACCAGGAAACGGACAGCGGTATCTAAATTCGGCGGGGTTATGATAGATAGTATATTGAAAGCGAGAACAACCGAAGGAGAGGAAGACAGAGAGCGGGACACTAATTAAGCAGGAAGGCACATTTGAAAGAGGGAGTGAAAAAGGAAACTCATGAAAACTTGTTAAACTAAAACTTTAAACTAAAACTATGCCCAGGTAGAGGGTGGACTACTACTGGTCTAAAACTCAAACATTTTCCGTTGGATAATTTTAAAACATTTGTTTGAAAATTGATTGTTGAGGGAATGTCATATAGTATCTAATCATATATTACGTGTTGGCGCCATTGGTTAACTATGTGTCTGGTGCGGCTACCAATTAATTAATACCTGCCAACCTTAAGTTTAGTCTGCGATGTTTTGATTCATTGTTGTTAACCGTTAAAGAATAAACGAGTCAATCTTAATTCAGTGAATTAACGATATTGAATCTGCATTTTTCACAACTCAAAATTAGTATTTATTGTCGTTAAAGACGCCTTCACCAAATTTTTAGGGACAGCCAACAAAAAACTGAGGTCTTAAAATAGTACGCAAGTGGAAACCTTTGGGTAGTTAGGGGGTCGACTTCGCCTCATATATATGAGAAAAAAATTTTGATATTTTCTTCGAGACCAATTTCCTATTTTGTGCAATCAGTTTTGTACAGAGATATAATGTGAAGCTGATGGAATGATGTTGGTGGAGCTGATGGAATGATGTTGAAATCACAAATCTAAAATTTGCCAAAAAAATCGGAGCAGAGTTGGCATTATAACAATGTTTTACACAGAGGCAAAGCTGCGCTTCGCAAACAATTGCCAGAACACGGCCAAAAAGCAGCTCTATCACGTGAAATAAGACAAAGTAGAAATAAGCCTCGAATTAGCAAAAACTCGGTTACGTGTCGGGTTGGAATCTTCGACCTAGCAAATTTGTGTCTCAAGCACTGACCATTCAGCCATAGATGCTTTAAATCCCCAAAAACTAGCCACCAAAAACGCAGCTACATATAAGTAGCACCAAATACAAAAGACACAAATTTGCATGTAGTAAATTGGAAAGCATAAACCCAAAGCATTGAGATAAATCGAGTTGAAAAATTTTCGAAATCTAGACCAAAAATTGATGTTTTGAGCACCTCGGCCAAACACATGGCAACCTATACGGTCAAATTTAACTGAAATAAGCGAAAACTATTTCACTTCACGTGTTATGAGTTCAGTTTTTATAAAAGAACCTCCAACAAAGAAAACTTAGCAGTTAATATTTTTCTCAATAGAAGCAAAGCAAAATACGTCGCAAAAGAAAAAACTGGCGGTAAAAATTAATTTCCTTTGATAAATTCATAATTATTGAAATTAACTCAAATTACAATTGCAAATACGAAAAGAACAAAAATCAGTTGCGAAAATTATCCAGTTCGCCTTTCGTCCGTGTGATGTTTATTAGTCGATGAGCTAAAGAGGATTCTTCAAAATGATGTCTCTATGTTTTGTTTTATCTACGAAAAGGCAATCTTCTTTCAGTTAAAACTACGGACTGAACTCGTATGAGCTGATGTATAACAAGATGAGGCCCCTAGAATGATGCAGATTGAGAGAATCAAATGACTGACATGGACATACAATCGTGTATTTGTTATTGCGTCACCAATTCGTTTCTGTTCAGTCACCATCTACGTTTTCAGTTTTTACTATCTGACCGGTGACGTAGTAGTGGCTGCACTGGGTGTAGCCAGCACATCCCCGGGGGCACTAACTGGCGTTCCAGCTGTTGATGTGTTATTTTGCTGTTGCGATCTGCTCTCGGCTAATGAGGATGTCGTGAATAGTTTGTACCAGCCAATCACTATTCCGTTCAAGTCTAGTTCATCTAGTGCTACTTGAGCTACTCCCATGAAGTAGCGTCTGTCCATGCGTCCGTAGTCACCCCAAACCGATATCTGAACAGCCCAATATTCGATAGGATCTCTCACAATAAATTCTGAAGATTTGGACAAATAATTTATCATACCGAAATTTTCCAGGTAGAATACATATTCCTGACCTTTCCTGATACTTAAAATTTTCTTATCATAGAACTTTTCCCGGATTTTGCAAACCTGAGCCTGTCAGAATCAAAGCCCATTTGTTATTTCTTACCTGGATCAGTTTTCCAGAAGGATCCTCTTCGAATGTGATCTGAGACTGGTACAGGGGATCCAGAGTCTTCCTAGCAGATTTGGTCTTCGCCTTGGCCAAGCATGATTTTCCCTTCATCAGGTAAACTTTCACGTAGGGCGCTGGAAAAGCATCATAAATCGTGCGCACTTGAGCATTACTGTGGGTTGCAGCTTTTCGAAAAAAACTTTGGAAACTCATTTACTCAGCACTCACTTTTTTAATTCTGTCAAATATAAGAAATAAAATCCCTAATTAGTAAGTCCCTAGTTTGCCTAAATTTTACAAACCCGCTTACAAGAAGGGTGATTTTCGCGATGAGTGACAAGCATGATACTGTTTAATCAAAGATTATGTTATCTCTAATTGATGCTTGTTTTAATTCAATTTTCCTCTTACTTTGGAAAAAAAACTATATTTATGTTGAATATTGGATTTATCGAAAAACTTCCCAGTGTACCTTATGCACAATGCATAATTTTTTCATATATTTGCAATTGAGCACTCGGTTGTAATTGAGAACTAACCCGGGTAGTCACGTGCACCTGGCTTCACCATCAGCCCTCTCGCTCGGATGATCTCCAGTTCCAGGATTCCCTTCTTCACAGAGAATCCAACTTGGATACTTCCCAGACAAGGAGATCCCAGTACCTGTCTGCCAACTAACTGGCCCGGACCCAGCTCTTCCACGAAGTTTGTCAGTTTGTGTTCTGGTGGAAGACGAAGCTGCGATTGGAGCATCCTATTAACAAGAAGAATAAACAAACTCTCTCCACAGTTCAAATTCTTCAAATCAGGTCAAACTTAATCAGGTGACAGGCCGACAAGCCGAAGGGCCATTAAACCGAAAATAAGATTACCATTTCAGCAAGCCGACAATTAGTATTCTTACATATCAGCCAATTGTCACTATTGTTATGCAATTGTTACCAAGTTCTTATGCAATTTATGTTATTCTGAGGTAATTTCGGCTTTAAGATTTGGCGGATTGTAGATATGGCGGCTTGATGAACACCCACTGTATGCAACAACGTTCAAGGGCAAAATTCAGGCACTGTCGCAACTGAATAGAAGATTTTACTACTACTAGGTGTGCGCATTTCGTTAATTTTTTGTTGAGTTTTGAGCCTCAACTAAAATGTTAGGTTATGTTTTGTATTATTTCTGTTCACTTACGGGTCCGAAGCCAGTGATTGTCTCACTGCAACATCGTGTGTCTCCTGACTGTCCATCCTCTGCAGGAAGTTCTCTTCAGTGTGGAAGCCCACCTCCTCCGTCCTCAGCACCACCAATTTCTGCTTACGGTCTGCAAAAATTATCAAAGTCAAACTTACTGCGTATCGTAACATGAATCACAACGCTGGAGCCTCACATTACACGAGCACTAACTATTTCAAGTCGCTTCCATTAATATTGCTGATATACAAAAAAATTAAGGTCATGAATATAAGTTTTTGAAAAACATATTTGAGCGCATGTGAGGCTAAATTACAGAAAGCGAAAATCTTCAAACGTTATGATAAAAACGAGCTAGCTTTCTGGACTTCTCGTTGGTTATGATTAAATGAAGTTACACGAAATTCGATAATATCAAATTAAGCACAAAGACATGCATATTTTAAGAATAAAACTTAAGTTAACTGGACGATTTCAAATTTAACTGAAAAGATAAACATAGAGCTCCATCTACTGCCAATTACACTTCTCAATCAGATGTTCGGGTGGCTTCGGAAGCGGGTATTGGGCCATTTTGCGTCTCGGTTTCCGACTTTTCATCGGTACGTGAAATGAAAACTGTCTTTGGATCCACTTAATTCTTCGTTGAGGCGTCGATTCTTTCTCGGCCCATTTCCATTCCAAGCGACTATGGAAATTTCGATGAGGATTGGTATTTGGCGACTTCGAAAAGCCGCTTTCCAGGTTTTGATCAAGACTGGGAAGCAACTGGCGTTGCTGATGTTGTTGATGACAAATCTGATTCTGATCATCAATGTTAAAGTAGGTTCGCGTATCTAATTACAATATTCTAACTTTTTGGTGAAAAGGTTATGACCGTGATAAAAAACAGAAGAGCCACCCCTTGAAATTAAAGTCCATATTCTAAAAATGATTATTAATAGTCCCAGAGCCGAATGAATATCGAAAAATATTCGCGTATCACACATAATGAATTTAATGGCCACGCATTACAGAAAATGACTATACGATTGATTGCTGACGGTTCAAACAAAAACGGTTATCTATGTTCACAAATTCAACGCCAATGAAACCTTTTTTTGACTGCCGTTTCCTCCGACTACTTGACCTCCGCAACAGTCCGTCACAGTTTGAAACTGACTTCTTGCTCGCTGCACTGGACGAAGTTTCCTTGGATGTTTCCTTTGACGTCGATGATTTACCGCTCCTAGCCGATTCCGAATCAAATTCGAAGTCTCCAATTTTATGGGATCCAGTAGAAATTGAAAAGTTTTCTGCCTCTTCATACTCGCGTGGATCTTCACTTACCTTGCTGAGTTTGTCTAAGTGACTATGATGTGTACAGACTTTACTATCCGAAGACCGGTCGTCATGGTTTTGTTGATTGGACTCTAATGTGAAACAGTCGACTCATGCAATTATTGGTAAGGTTAATAGATATTATATCCATTTGAGACCTGTATCATGCAAAATATTTCAACTCAATTTTCATTTATTAAAAGCTCAAAAAATTCAGTTGTGTTGATAGCAAAATAGTTTTCAAAATCAAAAAATCCGTTCAGCGATAACTACATACATCGTTATTCCGTGTTATACTCACGAGAATGAACAAATAACTACTGTTTGACTCGGTTCCTTTTCATTCATTGACCGCCTGATGAATCATCGACCTACCTAAACTGTTGAGACTGTTACTCTTCTTCGAGAACCTGGCCAGTGCTCCGAACTTCTTACTAGCCGCACTCTGCCTTCTCTTCTTTCTGCTAATCGCACTGTTCGGATCCAAGCTTCCGTGCGACTCCCCGTCCTGGTTAGCCCCTCCTCCTTCCCCTCCCCCATCACTGATACTTCCTTGTTCCTGGAGCCCCCCTAGTCCCATTTCGCTGACTTTGCGCTTCTCCACTGTTCCGTCTTCGTTTATGACTGAAACATCTTCCTCGTTGAAGGAGAGGCTGCGACCCTCTTCGTTTAAGGATGCTGTCAGTCTGTGTTCGGATAGAGATGTGTCCAAGGCACCTCTGGAAACAACCATCATAAACTATTGCATCGATAAAACCTTAATTCGTCGCTTGTGCGTTCAAATTTACTGCCTACGCATATCCCTTTTTAGCATATCGAGTTTTTCTACGGTAGCACTCACATCATATCAGATTCTATGTCGCAGAAATTAACTATTTATTGATACCAGTTTCTTAAGCCATAATTCATCACTAGATCTAACATCTACAATTTTTTTCTTAACTCGTTGGCTTTAAAGCTTTTCATCGGAAAGAAAAGATCAGGAACATAGCCAACATACAGTTGAAAAAACTTGATTGAACAGGAAAAAATACTGACTTGTTTTTTGAAAAAATCTCAAATTTCAAAGGAAAAAAACATGACCTTAAAGCAATTTGATTTTCTAAAACAATTTATGATTGACTTTTTTTTGCTAAACGTAACTGAATTTGAATCCACTTTTCGTGACCTTTACACTTTTGCTGTTCGATTGTGGAGTTTGCCTTCCCTCTAACGAAGGAAATTAACTTCACTTGAAAAGAAATCAAAAATTAAACCGCGAAAAAGTAAAACTGAGCCTAAAAAATGAAATTTTCCTTTAAAAAAAAAAACAAAAAAATCTTCCCTATATAAGACTCTGAACTACGAGAAAACTGTCATCTGTGTAAAATATGTTGACTCACTCTTTTAATCTGTTGTCATCATTGAGACTATTGCTTCCTTGTTGCCCTCCACTTACACCCGCGCCAGTACCACCCCCACTCTCAAGAGCAGCAGAGGATGAAGCAGACTGTGCACTGTTGTTGCTGAGTACATCCAACCTGTGCTCTGCTGACACTGAGACGGTGGCGGAGGAGGCAGCGGTCTTGTTGGCACCCACTGCCGGCGCACTCTGGGCACTCAGACTAGACAGGTTGCTGCTCTCTTCCGAGAAGATACTGTACGCATCTGCCACTTTCTTACTCCCTATCCCATCTGAAAATCAGTCCGTTTTTCATTTCAATTGTACGTATATCTCCACGTGACCAGGCGCGGATTTAGGCCCCCCTTAGGGATTCGAACTCCTCGCCAATCAAATGGTCCCGGTTGGTATTAATTTATGACATCCCTTTACGGCCGACTAATCCTATAACTTTTTTAAAGGCGCCTTTGGCGCTAATATATACTAAGTTTTTAAGGGAAACGGGCGTAAAAAAACGCGATTTTCGGGCTAAAATTCTCAAACACATTATTTGTGAACTGTTTTTTTTTCTCAAAAACTTAACTGCGGCTGCGGCTGAGAAAATTTCGTCAACATATGCTTTTTGTGCTCGGAAAATCATTTTGGTCGGCCTACATTTTTTGAAGATAGCGAACATATAGTTAAAATAGAGTCAATGAACGCAAGTAAACAAAAACTTCTGAAATTTTTTTTTGCAAATTTCAACTTTCGAATTTCAAAAATAAAAATAGACGACCTTAAAGATCTTTAAAACTTTTGAACTTCAAAAACAAAAAAAAACACCTTAAAGCTCTTTGAATTTCTAGAGCAATTTGTGAGTGACACTTTTTTTACACAAACTAACCCAACTTGAGAAAATTGGGTCAATAGGAAACTGGATCAAAAATTCGATAATTAAATTCCGCTTTCGAAATCGATCACGTTTTTTGTGACCTTTACGCATTCACTGTTCAATAGTGGAGTTTCCCTTCCTTTCAACAGAGGAAATGAAGTGACCTTAAAAAGACATCAAAAGTCAATCCGCGACAAAGTAATTTTAAGTTTGAACATATTTTAAGACCTTTCCTGAAAAAAAATCATCGCGAACTTTATTAGAGTCTAAGCTACGTTCATCGACTTTTTTAAATCCTAACCCTAGAAAAACCTTGATCCACCCCTTTTAGCTATATTTATAGCTCATTCATTGAACCAAATAACAAAAACTGGATTGATTGTGATTCAAATTTTTTTCAGGGCAAATTTTCTTTCAAATATGTTCTTGTTCATGTATCGTAACAATTTGACATCTTTTGAAACATTCAGCACTTTGCGCGATTTAAATCCGTGCATTTAAACAAAATTAAGACGGAAAAATGCTCCCACCTGTTTCAGCTGACACACTCAAATCATTGGGCCTCGTTTTTGATACGTATTCATAATCCTCACTCCTCGTAGTCGACGTCGTTCCTGATCTGCTACGTGGCTTCAGGTGATAATTCGATCCATCCTTGCCATCTCTATTGTGTTTATTCCTATCTCTATCTCTGTCTCGGTCTCGTTCCAGAGGCGGAGAGTAAGGCGGAGTCATCATTTCGGGTACACTTTGCTTCTGTTTGTGTTCCCTGATACTTGATACGCTATCTGGAAACACAATCAAAAATTATTTGGCAACTTCAATGAATTTTTCAAAAATTGAGTTATAACTGACTAATGCACATTGAACCCTTCTTCATTTCAAAACATGTCATAAAAAATTTTGCTGTGTGTTCCTCGAAATACTTGAAATTTGAGCTTATTGCATTTTGAATGATTTTTTCTTTGACTATTTGGCAACTATTTTTACCTTTCTTGTAGGGTCTATTTGGAAACTCGTCATCTTCTTCCGCAATTCGATCTCTATTCCTGCTTCCGGCCCTGGGAGATCCAACTCCTGCATTTGTATTCCTTCTACGGACGTCGCCCCTCCCGCCGTCATTTGCGCCTTGGTTATTGCGACTGTATCTCCTGTGGTAGTTTTGGTCCAAATTTGTCGATGCTCGGAGAGGTGGGGTCAGTGTTGACGAGGAAGCACCCGGATCTCCCCTGATATTTGTAGCACGTGTGGGGGTAGACCGGTCAGATGAGCCCATAGGTGAAAAGTATCCCTCGTTCCTATCAAAAGAGCTAAGTAAACGAAATATGTCTGATCAATCTCATACTTCAACAGAAAATTCAACACAGATGCTAAGCGGGGCTTCGCACTACTTGCCATGCCACACTGAAAAAGCATTGCAAGCTAGTAGACGGAAAATGAAAGGAAAGCCACGTAAAGAAAAGCTCATAGCTACAAAAATTTCAAAATTTTGTCTGGAAAGATATTGAATTTGAGGAAAAATTGTCCCGAAACAGAGAAGCAAATGTTAACTTCAGAACATTTATCGAGCGACAACTACGCTGACAAAAAAAATGAGTAAACCCAGATGAGTCGAAAACTAAATGGTCAAGAGAAACGTTTCGAATACTCCTAATTTCCCCTTCCCCTATGCAACACTGCCAATTAAAAACTTAATTTTTCAAACCACGCAAAGTTAGGTCACTAATCTGATAAAACATAAGTAGTCACAATTGAGCCCAAATAAAAAGCTTTTATGAGAAAACAGGAAATTACAAAAAATCAGATGAAGTAGATTTTGGGTTAAAATCATTTTCAAACTAAAAAAACTAAGAAAAAGCCTTTCAAACACTGACAATTAAAAACATCATACAAACAGTTGGGAAAGTGTCAAGTAAAACATGATTCATTTTTTTAAACTTTCATTTTTCAAAAAATAGGTCACACAAGAGCCTGGACACAAATAACACGTTTTTCGCGTAATTTTCATTTTCTTAATTGGAGAGCGTACAAAAGTAAAACAGCAAAAAACCCAATTTCGCGTGATCAAATTTGAAGATATAAAATTATCATGAACTATAAGAGCCTCACTACGTTTATTTCCAAAAACATAGCCAACAGGCAGTTGGAAAAGAGGGAGTGAACGCAAGTAAACAAAAAAAAATTGACTTGCTTTTTGAAAAAATATTAACTTTCGAATTTTAAAAAAAAAATAGATTTCCTTTTAACTATTTGAATACTGGATCAATAGTTACAATTTTTATTTCGCTGGAAAATCTGATAGTTAAATTCCATTTTCAAAAGCAGAAGCCGATCACGTTTTTCGTGGCCCTTACACTTTTGCTGTGCGAGTGGAATTTGCCTTCCTGATATTTTCCTGAAAAAAAAGAGAAAAAATAATAATCACGACCTCCATAAGAGTCTGAACTACGTTCATTACGAGGCCAAACTGTGCATTTTGTGCATTGTAAGCGGATTCCGCAACAAGGACGCTCTCTTTGTACTTCTTTTGGACTTTACTTTCCTTTGATCGTTCCGACAAAATTTTAACATGTTTAAAGACTTGTCTCTGGAATCCAGGAACATACAGACACAAAATTGTGCTCCTATCCAGTGCACAGTTTGGCCTCGTAAGGTTAATCGACTCTAAAACATCACTTTTAAGCTCATAATTTTAGACATCACTATGATTGACACTTCTATTATTGTTAAAATTAACTCATGAAAACTGGATCGAAAGACATTTTTTCATTTCCAATGTGAAAAATAAAGATTCAATAATCGACTCGTGAAACTTTTTTCAGTCCCGTATTTTTGGGCAATTTGCACTATCGTTAATGCAGATCGTAATTTGACTTCAATCTGGCAAGTTTGTCTGCCAAACTTAAAAAGACAAAACACCACTAAAAAATTCGAGATTGAACAATTAAGACCTTACCTTAAAGCAACAAAAAATCACATCAAATCAATGACTTCTTTCATAGAAGCGATACAAGGGAACAACAACAAATTTACAATTTCGAATGGAAAACAAGGCATCAATTTCAAGTAAAATTGTGACAGGCACCAATTAAAGAAATTCCATGAACACAAGGCGCAAATTTTTTCAGTGTTATTAGACATGGAAAACTTTTCAGAAATTGGAACGATTGTATCATGTTAGTCCACGAGCAAACTATCTCATCATATTTCTTAAATGCCAAATCAACTTCGCAAAGAGTTACTAACACGAACAAATCAAAATTGTTTATTAGGACCGAAGTAAACTGACCTATTATGATGTAGATTCCGTTTATTCATTTCAGATGCTCTTCTTCTTTTTCCATTTGTTCCTCCAGCAGCCCTGCCTCCGTGATGTCTACTAGCACCCCCTCTGTCACTCATAGTATCCCAGTCATCTGCATTAACCCGTCTTCCCATTCGATCTCTATCACTCAATCTATCTTCGAAATCACTGAATCTTTCGTCTCTATCACTAGCTACTAATTCATGTTCGTTCACGTTCATTCTGTGCATGATACGAGACTGCACACCACCGCGATTCGTTAAATTTCTCCTTCTTCCCGAGAAATGAGCCGTATCCCCTCGTGAATGCGGCGTGTACGAAAGATAATCGTTGACAACTTCGTGGTCTCCTTTGATGTAAGGCTCCGATTGTCGGCGAGATTTCTGTGACTGGCTGTCAGCCACAGCTGAAGGCGCGTATGGTCTGTGAGTTGTTTGGGATTTCCATGATCCGACAGGTGACAATTTGTCCCGGTCATCGTAATCATCGAAATCGTCCAGTTCTCTGATAAAATTACAAGCAGAGTCCAGGACACTTAAGGAAATTTTGTAAAATTTCACCAAACAAAGTGATAAATAATGAGAAGCTTTTGTTACTGAGCATTAAAGTTTGCAACAAGAAGCTACATGGAAGAGAAAGAGAAAAAGGAAACAGAAAAAAATACGGACTTGTTTTTTTGAAAAAATTTGAACTTTCGAAAAAATAAATGGCCTTGAAGATCTTTGAATTTCAAGAAAAATTTATGAGAGACACTTTTTGATGGCATTAACTCCATTTTAGAAAACTGTATCAATAGGTCAATGTTTTATTTGATGGGAAATGTGATAATTAAATTCCATAATCGCAATTAAAAGTCGATCACTTTTTTGTGACCTTTATGCTATTTTACTATTCGATAGTGGAGTTTGACTTCCTTTTAACAAAGAAAATGATGTGCACTTTAAAAGAAATCCAAATTGAAATCGCGATATACGAAAAATGAGAGTGAACAAACGAAGACTTCCGGAAAAAACGAAAATCATCAGCACCTATAAGAGTCTGAGTTACGTTCATCGACTCTAAATCACTTCGTTCATGACCAATTTGTTCACCAACACTTCGTTCATTGAATTCGTTTATAGAAGATAGCTATTTCAGTAAATTAAAACTTTGACCTAACAATGCGAATGAATATACGAAACCGATCATCAAAACACCACGTTTCATTTCCAGGACAGGACAGACATTGTCTCGGCCACCTATCAAATGAGCTGTATCTCAATTTTGAATACCTCCTACCTCTGCTCGTTTCGAATTTCAGCGTATCTTAAAGGCGATTCCACTCTCTCCCTATCTCCAGGGTACAAATGACTCCTCTGATGATACACATGACCTCTTTCCTCCAGCGGAGATCCTCCGGGAGATATAATCTGTCGCGAATGTAATGGACCCGCTGTTGATTCCAGAATGTCTATTGAGTTGCGTCTAGGAAATATATTTGAAAGGCCTCCAACGAAGCTTTTGCGTAAGTGCTTGGGAGTATTCGGAGCCGTCATAGTTCCAACTGGGGTACCGCGGTCTTCAAAATCAGGAGCAGTTCGGAATCCTTCTCCGCTATAGAGATTAGCGATACCTACATATAAGTTAAACTTTGTAGCTGCCACCAAAATGCATAGATTAGTTTTCATGGCTCCTGTTTCCCCATGGTTAAAAAGTAAGGTTATCAAAAGTTTATCCTAAAACAAACCTCTACAAGAAATGATCAAACATCGGACGAGGATATTTAAAATGTTCCCCATTTAAACTATGCCATTTTAAAAGTTTTCGCCCTTCTAAACCTTAATTGGCGAACTTACTTGACACAAACCGAGACCCTTTGAGATCTCGCAACGGAAAGAATCTTTCAAAATTCCTTGAAAGAAATCGATTCGACGAATCAATTTCTTCCTCATCCTCGTCCTCAGCCCCGTCTCCTCGGTTCACCAAGCCAATATTCGAGACGCCGTCTCTGGCTAACTTCTCAGATAGAACTCTCAAATCAGCAATCGAAGTGCTGGCCAAGTTTCCTCCATTCAGAATCACTCCTTAACAATCAACATCAATTCGATTTATTTGAAACCTTATGTCAAGTTGAACTCGTATGTGTTTGATGAGCATAAAATCACAAAATATTCCGACCACAGATTTGTTTTAAAATCTGCCGAACAAAATAAAAAAGCGCAAAATATGTAAACCCAGAAGATTTTTAATGCAAGCCCATTCATTTTCACAAAATGATACATTTCAGTAGACTAATTTTTCTTGAAACCGAGAACATTTTACGAAGTAAGGATTCAAAGCCTTCAGTGCAAGATTTCAAAGATATTTGGCCAATTTCTAAATTCAATCACCTCTCGCATTTATATTTTTATAGTTTTTCAATAATTGATGACGTGGTCGGAACCATATCTACATGAGTGCACACTTTTTTTCACAGTTGACTGGACAATTTCAAGTACAAAGTTATCATGGTAACACGCTGAAAGGTACCGTTAATTGAACAAACAAATACGGAAACAAACTAAGCTAAAACTGACCTACAGATTGCCGGTACAAACTCTATTGATACATTTCACATGCTTATTAGTCAAATTTTTTTTACAAAATCTGCGAAAAAACACTGTTCTTAATGTATAATTTTTGCAAATCACTATCTGCCCCTCCCCCCCCCCCCTTACCGCCCACTATTTGTAAACGTCGAGAAAACTAAGGATACAGTCCAAAGATTTTCCACGTAAAAACATTGAAAATCGGAACCAAAAAGCTAATATTGGTTAAGGAATAAAGTTCAGTCAATCGCCGATTTGCGCAGCCTGATTAACGCGTTCATTGATTCCAAAAAGTTAATCCTGATTTTCATTCGAAATTGAATACATTTCATGCTAGGGTCAGATAGGTCAAACTAAACATGTGACTAATCAGAGAAATCAGAATTCATATGCAAATGCACACAATTACTATTGTACACACTTTGCATAAGGCCCTGCAATTTGCCTAAGTCTGGCAAGGGAATACTTCGCAAATTGCTGAGCAGCTTATCAACTGCAGTCCAGTTGATCTCGCCTGAAAAAAGATCAAACCAGTCAGATAAAATTTCAGATCATGCCCAGCGGTTCTTTTCAATCACATCCCCTGAATTTGATTCCGGTTGAATCATTTCCTCAATAATTTTATTCTTATGCAAATGTTTAATTTTTAGTCAGGGAGTATAACCGAAAAGACCCATGCCGAATATGAAAGTGTTCGCCAATCCATTTCTGTTCAAAGTAGTTTGAAGGTATAGAGAACAAGAAATGAGTCTGCTGTGATCTGAAGATTCTTTCTCAATCAAATAGAAATAAAGATTAAAGGCTAACTTCCACTTACCATAAGAATCTTCAAGATATTCGTCCCAGCCGATACCTGAAAAAATTTAAAATTTTTTTTGAACATGCTTTTCAAGCACGAAAAAAAACATCGGCAAAATTTTTTGAAAATTATATTGGCATCCGATTATATTTTTCCTCCTAACTTTTTTTATTTCAAGTTTTAGAAGGGTATTTGAAGCACGTAGGATTCATTTTCCAATCATCTTGGTTTAAAAAAATGTGTTTCGAACCGTTGAGATCCTTGAACTATTTCTGCCCAAATCGGTATACGATTCGCCACAAATACTGAAAAATGACAGCGAATTATACAGAAATAGCTTAAGGGTTCATCGAAGCCAAATCTTTGAACTATACTCACTTGTGATCATGGGTGGATTGTTCATAGATGCTGAGGGCAGAGGACTGGGAGGAGGGAGTGTGGGGCCATGTTCGTCATGAGGCTGTAACTCATATGTGTGGGGCTCATCGTCCAGCAGAGCACGCTCCAGATTGAGCACAACCTGGAATAAACCAGTTTCTGCACTTGGGAGGACGTCAAACTTGCTATGACGTCAAGAAGCAGTGAACATGAGACAATTTTGTAAAAATTGATATACGCAACTGCCATTAAGTTTCCGTTTTTCATCTTATGGTGCGAAAAGTTTAAAACCGTTGCTGTTTTATCTAAACATCTGATTACAAAAATCAATGCTGCCAAATACGACCAAAAACCAGCTTAAAACACTTTCAGCACTTTCGCTCAACTTACTTCTCCCAAGAACTGTCTTCTTTGAGACTTCATATATAGATCCCAGATCGTCAGTTCCAATTCATTGTCCAGCTGCATCTGTTCCGATGTCACATTCACTGCAAAACTCATGTTCCAGATGGGCTTACAAGTGTGTAGAGCTGTCTTCGTTCTCCCTACCAGCTCATCACTACACAAACAAAATTCTTGTCGTTTGTATCAAAGCATAGGACAATCAAACTAAGGGAGTAGCAGCGGTAGAAAGATCAGTGATTCGAGGCGCACCGTCATCCTTGTCCCTTGTTTGCACCTTTCCCAGCTTCCCCCCAAGAGTAGTTTTCAACAAAGGGGGATAACAGCTTCTCGTACTGATTAGGAGGAACAGTTAGTCCTTTGCTTTGCATTGTAGAAAAACATTCTTCATAACAATAAATAAAAACTTCTACCATCAGAATAGCACTATCATATTTCATTCTCCAATACCTTCCAGTTGTACATTCAAGTTTGTTTTCAGCGCAAAGATTTGGTGATTATTGATTGCTAAACGTTATTCATTTGATTTCAAATGCTGTTTTTGATTGAAAACCTGAACGGTTTATCTGTTCGATGTGATTCATTTAATGATAGTCTCACAAAACTGACTCTGAGTATATTGCCGGTACTTACCTTCTGTCAGGCAGCAGATGAATCTTCACATAAGCATTCCTCGGTGACCCATCTTCCCTGGGCGACAGCTCAAACGCCCCTATTACGGTCACAATCAATTGTAGCTCCAGTTTATCATACCACAATTTCAACTGCAGTTTGGAGCCAACTGAAGCTGCCAGCTGATCCTGAAGTGGCAGGCGTCGTGCACTGGGCAGGTGAGATTTTCTGCCAGCTGTCCTGCCTACTTCCGGAATCGGGTCGTCAAAAGGTAGAGCCACTGGTACATCAATATCCCTAAGCACAAAATTTCCTGATTAGCTATATAAAACTACCTTGTGTGGATATGTTAAAAAATTACAGACGTTAATTGTAAAGGATGTAATTTTTCAGCTATGATATTGTTTCGACAGTCTTTCGCACGCTTATACTTACAAAAAAAAATTTAGTATTTTCCGCGAAAAAATGAGCTTATCGCTTATCACAATCATAATCAGTTTCTTTAAAAATTAAAGCATACTTTTTTGAAATCGAAAGACCGATTCCAAGAAAAACCAATAGAATGTCCAGTTTGCGCCACCATCCCAGTCGACACAGACTCATCGAGCCAATCGAAGGGACTAGAGAATGCAAACTACAATCACGTCAACTCTTTCATTAAAAAGAGGAGTGAAGTTTTATTTCTGATGGTGTAATTCAGACGAGCAAGAAACTCGACTGCGATTTACTGAGAACGTGGTAATGACACGAACCCAACATCAGAGAATAATTTAAAAGCAGGGTGGATCAATATATCAATAAATACACATATCTGCTGGATTCACAATTGAGATATTCTTAATTGACCTTCATAGAAATATTAGGGTTTTTATCTCCTCCACACAAATTCCTCAGATTCTGTTTTAGTCTTTGATGCTGATTTATTTCTTTTCCAACACTCATGTATGTGCATTACATGTAAATTTTGAAAGTAGATTCATGTATATTCATGAGCAAGAGAAAATATATTCATAAGGAGTGGACATAAGCGAGTATATTTGAGATAGAGCCCAGCAAAGTGCATCGAGTATTTTCATTGTATTGGAAAATAACAGACTTCTTGCTACTAAAAAACAACAACAGAAGTAGATGCTTAGAATACCTCCTGCATACAACCAGTTGTACGTGAGTGTCTCTCTTAGACTCCAGAATGATTTCAGTGACCTCCAGCCTGCTGAGGTTGCGCAGCGGCTGATCATTCCACTCCAGCACTTCATCTCCTACAAATAATCAATTATTTAACCAACGATAGCCGGCCGGTTGCTCTGCAATGAGTACTAAGTTTCCACAAGTAAATCTATCGTTTTCTGTGGCGAAATGAAGAACCATGAAGAGTGACTCTTCATTAAATTCGTCTACAAAGCAAAAAATCTAATCGGTTTTTCTCGATGAGAAACATTTTCGGAAACTTCTAAAAATCAATCAAATCAAAACTAAACGGGCTTTAATACAATAGATCACCTTATCTGATAGTCTATCTTATCTGACGCTTATTTGAGGTACCTGTTTTGTGTGAAAGAATGAAGTAAAAAAGTTACAAAACTGAAGCTTAAAAACAGCAAGATGCAGCTTGATGTTCGCAACAATAACACATTCAAGCTTAGCTTAAACTCCATTACAACTTTGCTCGAATGGAGTATTTAATTTAAATCCAAGAAGGAACCATTTAACTTTCTTTAATTGACCTCAGTTTGAGCAAATGGTACTTTCAAGGTAAAAAACATGGCAATTCGAAGATATCTACTGACCTGGTCTTAGCATGCCTATCAAGTCGGCTGCCGATCCAGGCTTCACGCTAATGATGAATGCGCCCAAATGACCGGGTGTAATCACTTGACCTCCTCTGACTTTCAAGCCCAGTTCTCCTGTGCGTGTTCTCGGCAACACCATTCGGCCAATCAGGTTATTAGTTTCTGGATCGGGTAGCCAGTGAACAGAGTGCTGAAAAATATCCAGGAATTAAAAATGATGCTCATGGCAGTTCATGCAAAGTGAGGAACGACAAAATATAGTCAACACCATTCCACTTTTCAGACAAAAAGCATTCAAACAAAGAAAAGGATATGCATTAGACAAAAGAGCATCTACTAATTAGAAGCTGAACTAAGTATGAAATTCTTCTCCTTCTTAATTTTCGCACCTTAAAATGTTCCAGTCATTCTGTTTTAATCATACAATAGCCAAACTATGCTACGATACAAATGATCGCACCCTAAAAAGAAATATGTTTCTTCTCAATAATTCATCCATTTTAGTCAGCCATGCTCAGGTAGGTGATCGGCAGCTAAACGACTAATTACCACTCCAGCACAGGTTGAGGTCTCTACTTTTGCTCGACGTACACAACACAGCCTGGAGATAGTACAGGATATGACGTTGTCCCGGTGTCAGGGGAGTATAGGAGGCATAACCGCTAGGGGGCAGGGTGGTAAATTGAGACGGCAAGGTGAATGATGCTAATTACAAGTGGGCACTAACTCGCTGCATTACACTCAGGGGATATTCAATTCATCACATTCACCAATATCATAGTGACAGTTGTGAAATATGACTGCGCTCGATTGGATAGTTGCAGGAAAATAATTCAAGCAAGTTTTCATCATATGATATAATTGAATGGTTTATTTGTTCACTATGCTTCGAAAATACACTTATAAAGAAGTCGACATCCTATATATTCAAATAATAAATATCTCTAGGCATGGTTTCTGCAGTGAAGTTTCGATTCAAAAGAATTCTACGAATTGTTTCGACTATCAAAAGGAAAAAATTCTACGTTAATGCAATTGATACTATTAACTCAAATAAGTCCGAACTCAGAGGCACCTGGTGTCAAGAAAGTGTGCTGCCTTACGGGTTAAATAGCAAATTAATTTTGACAAGTACAAAACCCCAGGAGAAAATGTCTTCATTTCGAAAAGCCTTGAACGCCTAGGTAGTTTCTAAATTTAGTCTGAGAATATCCTGACAACGTACGATGTTGCATCCAGAAGCTCAAAAGGAAAACTTTACTTCGCGATTGCGTCAAACTGATAGCAGATGCATAAGAAAATCACATCATGCTCATGCAAAAAAAATCAACCACGGTATCACTATATGTTGTACCCTGGCGGATGTGAGTGAGGGTGAATTCGAGGCTCCCCCGGCCACCGAAACGGCGGATGAGTTAGTCACTCCCAAAACACCCGCCGGAAGAGACATGACGTCATCATCCATGAGGGATTCCGCCCAGCCTGGCAGGCCAAGGAAGCAAACACAGCAGATATTAGAGACCCCATATTAATTCTATTAAAATTACAAAATTTCTGCTACACATCACTGTTTGTTAGTCTCAATAATACCATTGAACATTGTTGTTTTGTTACCAACATCATTTCAAAAGCTCATAATATGACTATTTGAAAAATATAGATTTAGCTCAAGTTCTGCACGAGACTAGGTTAGTCTTAAACCTTTTTCTCACACTTGAACACTATTGAACAACAGGTGACTCACCTGAATCTGAATGTATACTGTAGTCTGAATCGTCAAAGAACTCGTCCCCCAGACTGGAAATCTCAGTGGTTGATCTCAATTCATCTTCTTCACCACTGCTGCTGAAGGATCTATGGAGTAAACCCATCACATCTGGGCCCCGCCCAGTCATTGCCTTCAGTCTGGAGTCCCGAACAGTAGAGTGAAGGGAGTTAGATCTACTGTAGAAGATAAATAGGGCATAATTCAAACTGAACATAGCCAACAGAGAATTGGAAGTGTCAATGAACGCAAGAAAACCGAAAAAAAATGACTGACTTGTTTTTTGAAAAAAATCTTGATTTTCGAATTTCAAAAAAGTAGGCCTTAAACTCTTTGAATTTCTAGAACAATTTATGATTGACACTTTGTTGATGAAATTAACCCAACTTGAAAAAAGATGATTTTAGTTTTTAGATATCCCAGCGGAATAAAAGTTTCATCTTTTTACAAGTTGGGCTAACGAAATCGGAAATACGCGCGAAATAACGTGAACGACTTGATTTTAGTTTATAGATATCCCAGCGGAATAAAAGTTTCAAGTCATCCACGTTATTTCGCGCGTATTTCCGATTTCGTTTTGAAGAGCGCAGTTTGTCTTTTTTTAGCTAATGAAATTGAAGATCAAAATTTATGACTTTGTCCTGAAAAAGAAATCAACTCGATTCCTACTTTTTAATGAATGTTACTCACTTTTTGTCAACAACTGTAGTTGATTAAGCCTGAGTTATGTTATCAGCTTTTGTCTTGTTCCTCTAATCACGCCACGCGTGCAAAAAAACACACTATTTTATACATTTGCTAACAAGTTTGTATCATTTTTGTGCGTGGCAAGATGAAAGGAGCGAGACAAAAGCTGATAACATAACTACATTTTTGACTGAATCGACTACATTGTTTTGAAATGTTGTCGGAATATTCTGAACTACATGCATAGCAACCGGATATTCTTGTTACAAACTGTTTATCATTGCAAAGCTATGATCTTAGTAACTTATTTAGTTGCCGCGACAACCATAATCTACTTTCCCAACCAACATCTTGATAATTGTATCTGTTCTAAATCAATGAAAAATGTGAGATGAACATTTTTAGCCTCAACTGATTTACGAAATATTTCTGTCACTGATAAGGTTGCACCCGATCATGAGCGAATTGTTCTAAAATTGTATTATTTTTTTTAAAATCTCAAACCAATAAGCAAACTTTAAATTTGAAAAAACCGAATTTCAAAGAAAAAAACAGATGCAACCGGATATTCTTGTTACAAACTGTTTATCATTGCAAAGCTTTGAATTTCTAGAACAATTTATGATTGGCGCTTCTTTGAAAACATTAACCCAAATTGAGAAAACTGGATCAAAATTGGAAGTTTTCATTCCGCTAGAAATCTAAAAATTGAATCCCGCTTTCGAAAGTAGAAATTGTTCACGTTTTTTGCGCCACTTTCACGTTCGTATTTGGAGAGTACTAATAATGTAAATCTCAGCAGATGGATTTCAATTGAACTCAAAAAGTGCATATATACCTAAAAGCATTCATAAATGCATCAACATGTATGAATGCACATCTGTAGTTACTAGAGCATTTTAAGACTTTCCTGAAAAAAAAATGACCAAAACCTATATAAGAATCTTTACTACGTTCATTTCTCTTAAACACAAGAACAAAAATTGCAGAAGAAACTGCGTGGCTCGTCCAATTTCCAAGATACCAATTTCAAATTCCATTCCTCTCGTAAAATTCCAAAAAAGCAATGGAATATGTAGGCACACAGGAGAGCGAGCCTACATTTTCCATCTTTCTTTTGACATCACTTTTTCGAAAATCCTTAACGTAGTTTTTGACCAAAAAAATTTCCGTGAATTGAAAAATTTTCCAGTGCTCCTAAAAAATTGAAAAAAAACATATCCGATACATTGATTGGAAAAGAGTCGATAAATGCAAGTAAACAAAAAAAGCTATGACTCAATTTTTTGAAAAAATATCAACTTTCGAATTTCAAAGAAACAAATAGATGGCCTCTCTTAAAGCTAATTTGAGTTTCTAGAAAAATTTATGATCGACACTTTTGGAAACTGGATCAATGAGTAAAATTTTTATTCCGCTGGTTATCTGAAAATTTCATTTCATTTTCGTAAATAGAAGCCGATCACGTTACTGTGACCTTTACACTCTTGCTGTTCGATTATGAGCTTGCCCTTCTTTTAACAAAGAAAATGGACTGAACTTAAAAAATCAAAAGTCAAACCGCGAAAATGTAAATTTGATCCTGAACAAAGTTTAGGACTTTTCCTGAAAAAGAATCAGCGCAAACTATATAAGAGTCTGAACTACGTTAATCGAATTTCAAAAAGTAGGAGTTGGAAAATATATGCTTGAACAGCGTACCAGCTAATAAAAATTGCATTTGGAACAAAAACGGAAAACAAGCCGTCAAAAATTAGGATGAAAATCGAAAGTCCACAAAAATTCAACAACTTCAAATGAACACAGAGACAAATCTTCGCTTTGCAGATACTTGCGAAAACACAAAAAAAGCGGCACTAAAACTTGAAATAAGAAAAGGAAAAGTAAAAATAGGCCTTAAAAATTAAAACTTTTGATGTAGTGGATTCGATATTACGACCAGGAAATTTGAGGTCCCCTGTCCTCGCTTCTGCGCCAAGGAACCTTGATAATTTAATTACACCAGCGACAAATAAGGCAGCTAGATATGCTAATAAATTGCCAATGCTATGCAGCAAAAGTAGCACCAAATTCTAATAGACAAAACTTTGCAGGTAATAATTTGGAATACAAAAACAGAGCATCCACACTAACTTTGCATGTAATAATTAGGTCAGCATAAAGCCAAGTTACGTATACCTTGTGCATTTCAAAAAAAGAAGATATATTGAGCAGGAAAACTCTGAAATAGAGTTATTATTGTGCTGTTGTTTGAAACAAATAGCTTTTTGGTTCATTAAAAATGCATCAACTGTGTTAACTTATTTTTTTTATCGCATGCCAAAGCATACGCTATCAAAAAGCTGTAAAGATTCCTACAAAAGTGGCTTCAATATTTGCAACATAGGTTAGAAAAAATAGGCGTACCATTGCAATACGTGCACAAGTGTGAAAAAGCTTCATTGTTTTGTCGTCGACCTTTTTTAGGTTGAACCATTAAATTTTCTTAGCACTTTCAGACCACTATAAATACCCTTTTTTGACCAAATTTTTTTTGCGGCAAACAAATTTTTGAAGCAACAGATAAAAAAGCTGTTTTAAGAAACGGACAATAAATCAAAAGATGCACCTTCCCGAGGGTCATTACTTTATGTGTGAAAACAATGGGCGCAGCCGCTTATTAAGTGCGCTTCCCACAACTTCTACCCATTGAATTTCAAAATCTCGGATTTGAGCGGGTAGTTTTCGAGAAAAAATGAAATTAGAAAAAAGTTTCGAATTAGTAAAAAAAGTCGGCAACCTCTGAGATTAAAACCTGCGACTTGGAAATTAAGAGACGCACACACTATCCACTCAGCCACGGAAGCATAATGGTACCAAACACTAGCCACAAATTAAACAGAACAGATGCTATCCAATTTCCAATGCTACATGGACAATTTCAAATAAGTTAACACTTCTATTGGCGAGTTAGGTTAGAAAAAATGCACGTTAAAAATACACTAAGCTAATCGAAAGTGTAATAACACAGAGGCGAATCTACTCTTCGCAAACACAAGCGAGGAAAATGAAAAAAGAGCTCTAAACAGGCAAAAAAAAGTGAAATAAGGAAAAGATTTAAAATAAACTTGAATTTTTTTTTGAAAATAATAGTATCACGTTCTCACATCTGCTCAACGACAGCTTGTAATTTCACTAACAGTAGCCACCAATAAAGCAGCTACAGTTTCTATCAAAATTCCAATGTTATGCAGCAAAAATTTGACCAAGAAAATTACTTAAATTTTCCGGATTTGAACAACCGACCTGTTGATTAGGAGTCTCACGATCTCGCATCTGCACCACAGTCGCTTGGAAAAAAACTAGTGGCCCAGCTAATGCTAGATTTACCTGTTCTAACAATCTTAATCGTATATGGTACTGCTACGAATATGCGTCGTTTTCAAAATTTCAAAAAAGGACTTTACGCTAAACCCTAGTGTTTCTCTGCTAAGAAGGAGATGAACCGCTTATTTAAACGTGAAAACTTTCACTAAATTTTTTGAAATACAGTCTTTATCTCAGATTTGGCTGAGTTTTTTCGAAAAAAAAATGAAAAAAGATTCCAAAAATCGATTAAAAAGTTCACTTTTCCTAAATCCATAAACTTTTCTCTACTAACGCAGGTGAATTGCCTCTGCTTTCCACAACCTGATTTTCAGATTGAAGATTTCTGCACCCTGAATTTTTAGATTGAACCCTTAATCTCAGATTAAGCTGGTAGTTTTCGAGAAAAATAACGAAATTTCGAATTAAAAAACGGTTAAAATTTAAAAATAATTTTTCTTAAATCCATATCACATTTTCTACCAAAAAAACAGGGTAAAACGGACTGCGCAGAGAAAAACTAAGCGGCATAGAAAAGCTAAGCGGCATAGAAAAGCTAAGCGGCATAGAAAAGCTAAGCGGCATGATAATTTGAATGAACTATCAACTTCAGAATCAGCAGGTTATTTAAAAAAAAAAGAATAACAGGCAAAATTTCAAAAATTGGACATTTTTCAAAGCGATATTTTTTTCAAAACGCAGGGCATAGCCACTTGAGCAGGAAAGATTTGCATACCAGATTTTTTATATTCGCTGGCACCATTAATCTCAGGTAGTTTTTCAGAAAAGTCAAAAAGTTTTAAAATTAACCGAAATGGCAAAAAATAGGCTATTTTCTACCGAATTTGGGGAACAGCTATTTGAGAAGTGGAGATCCCCATAATTTGCTTTTTTGATTCAAAATTTTACCTCAGATGGGTTTTTAAAATTGTATTGTGTTTGTAACTTTCGAAAGCCGTACAACGGGAACTAAAATGAAAAGAGAGTAGCGATATGTAGAGGCACAAAGAAGAGCAGACAGTTTTTCCATTGGTTCCACTTTTTTGAAAACCCTTACAAAAGTTTTTGAGAAGAATTGAAATTTCTGCGAATAGCGCAAAATTTTCCAAAGCGTCGCAAAAAAAAACGAAAAACAACAAATCCCATTCACTTTCATAACAGATGTTTTTTTTTCAAATAGGACCTAACACTAGCCAAAAACAAAGCAATATAGCCATTAAATTATTTATGCTTAAATATGATTAAATTGAAATACACCAAAAGTGCCACTAAATGAGGACTTCTATTTGCGATTTCTTCATAATAATACACTACGCTTCGCTTGTGTAAATTGGTAGTTTTTTTTTGAATTTTCAGAAAACTCCGCATGTCTGATCAGCGGCAGGATTTGAGCAGCAGAAGGGCAAGAAAACTTGTTTACGAGAAAAAAGTCCAGTTACCGATTAAAAGCCACTTGCTCTGGGAACATAACTTGCTCTGGCAAGTGAAAAGATAACTGGCACAAATTGAGCCACCTACCAAAGTTCTTCAACTTACTTCAAGTTCCTTTACCCACGCCACGCCACGCTCAAGAAAAACGACAAGTTTGAAAAGAAAATCGAACAAAATAATTTCTGTTCGACCTGTTCTACTTGCACAAAACTGGCCATTCTTTTTACCTTTTTCCTCTGTTGTAATAATGCACAGGCGTTGTCTTAGTCATTCCAGGTCTCCAATCACCAGCCGACATATCCGAACTGAATGAGTCATGCTTGTCCAGCATCCCTCTCTTCCCCATCCTCCTCCTTCCGCCTCCAGTTCTATGATGCCTCCCGTCCATTTCGAATTCCGCAACACTCATAGGGTACATGCCGGATTGACCTCCTTGTGTCATCATTTGGGGACTATCTGGCATACTGCCAGGCTGGTTCATCCCTCCGTTGTTATAGCCCTGATTAGGGTTTTGCATTCCGTACTGGGATGGGTCCTGGTAGTTAGGCATTGTAAAAGAAGGCGCCGATACTTTCCGGTTCGAGTTTATATCGCTAGGCGAAGCTGGCATCGATGATCCTCGACCGTAGGGGGAGAAAGGGGAGTTCATTCCACCACGCATGTATCTCTGCAACAATAGACGACAAAATCAAGACAACTTAAGTACCAAAAAAATATATTCATGATAAGCTGTAACTGTTATGAAATACGACGCATAATGCGACACAAATAACATGAAAACTAACCTTGATGCGAAAGCGCTAATACAAAAACCATATTTGAAAAAAAAAATCGATGGCAAGTAGCTGTAAAGTTAAGTTAAAACGTTGACTCACTCAGACTCATTAGGTCATTAAACTGAAAATTATAATAGCTGCATTTTCCGTAAAATCATGACTTTTAAATTGATTGTTTTAAGATGAACTACCTGGTCTGCGGGCATTGAGTGTCTCATCCTATTGAATCCATGATGGAATCCCGCCCTTCTTGGGTAGAAGCCTCTGCCTCTGTAGGGCATGCCTCTTCTTGCAGGTACCATAGGCGGCTGTCCGGATATCGAGTTAAACTGATTTGGACCCATTTGGTTCTGCTGATTTGGGTAGAAACTCTGCTGTTGATTAGACTGCTGGTTATTGAACCATTGACCTTGTTGTTGATTGTTTCCGAACCCCATTTGTGGGATATTATTACCCATGCCGCCCTGTTGTTGATTTTTACTACCCATCATCATTTGTTGATTTTGTTGTACTTGGTTTGAGTTTAGTGTGTTCTGGTTTGCAACTTGACTAGATTGTGATGTTACGGTCTTACTCGCTCCGCCCACAACAGGTAATATTTTCTGACCAAGCATCTGGAACAAGTTACCAGCTGAAGGCCTCCGACTATCACTGTTCAAGTTAGGAGTCTGAAGTTGACCCGGTACTTTATTCTGCATGTTTTGATTATTAACCAAGTTTCCGTTTGGCGCAAACTGCCCTTGAGTTATTCCGGGATTTCCCATGTTTGTCATATTGTTCCCTGTAGGGTTATTAAGGACCGAATTATTTGTGGAAGCGCCGTTGTTTTGGTAATTTTGCTGATACGGAGATTGCTGTTGTTGATTTTGCTGATATTGCGAGTTATTGATTTGCTGTTGATTGTTAGTTATATTACCCATGTTACCGTGATTTATTTGGTTCAAGTTGGTATTGCTGCTATACATTTGCTGGTTGTTGGGTTGCATATGGGATACTAAACTAGTCTGAGAGCCAAAATTATTTGTTGGGGATGGCGAGACATACAGCCCGCTACTACTATTGTTGTTCATGTTATTGCTGTTAATGTTAGCATTAAAATTGGAATTCGAATTATACTGCCCTTGATTTTGATAATTGTAACTTGGGTCACTGCTATTATAGTAGTTTTGGTTGTTTTGGCTGCTAAACTGGTTATTCTGATTCGAGGAGTTTTGCATGTTAACAGGCATCGTCACGCTATTCTGTCGGCTCAAATCACCCTGAGACTTCTGATTCTGTTGATTCTGACTGACAGGTTGATTTGAGGAGATGCTACTGGTTGACGATGATCCCAGATAAAACGGCGACGAAGCCTGGTTATTTTTGCTGACGGAATTTTGCTGATTCATAGAAGACACAGGAAACTGGCCTTGGTTATTTTGTTGCCCAGACGAGAAATTTGATCCAGTCATTTGCAGGTTTGAGTTTCCGCTTACGTTACTCATATTATTTGTCATGCCCATACTGTTATTGGTATTCTGATTGCTGCTCGCATTTATATGATTCGGCATCGTAACTGAGTTGCCTCCAGGTGGCCCTTGAAAGTTGTAATTTTGGTTAGACTGGGTCATCATGTTCGATGATTGAGGCATGTTGGGATTCGACGACAGGTCTTGAGTTCTTCCGGGATTTGTCAAGGATGCTGCCGGATTCTGATCAGATTCTTTGTTTGGCTGCGGGAATAAAGGATCTAAGTCAGGCAGAGACGGGTTTCGCATCCATTTTCCACTCTTTGCCAGCAATTCTTGTTTCTTCTTGCATAGATTGCAGAGCCATATTAGCTAGAACGAAAGGACAAAATTGATCGAATTTTATAATGGAAACATTAGAAACCTAAAAAAATGAACAACGTCCTGATAAAATTTATAAATAAATGCCAAATAATGAGAACTGTTCTCCACTTTCATCTAAAAAAAACATTGAAAATATAAGCAATCAATTTTAGCAACCATTTCTTATCTTTCGCTAAATGCATATTTTTGAGAGCGAAATTATTGAAATGAAATCATTTGATCATCTCTCCATGCTCTTAGAATCACCTGTTAAAAAGCATCCGATTACGAAATGATTGTCAAATGGTAAGGTCAAATGATACAAAAATAAATTACATGAAATAACAGCGTTTAGATGGGGACGGGTGGCTATTTCAATTCCCTTTGTTGTCGCTTCATCCCCACGGCACATGGCATCATAAAACGAGTTACTCCAGTAGAAGGTAGTGTGGGTGGGATCAGTGAATAATGGGTGCGTAATAGGGATTTTAATTATAGATACGATGCCATTATACATCCTCGATCATGACTGTTTAGCACTGAATTATTTTAGCACAAAATGGAATAAAAAAATTCACCAGATTTCGATATTGGCAGGACAGAATGAGTAAAATCGAATATGCAAAGTCAACATGTATGGCAATGACGGGTAGTGTTGGTTGGTGGGTGTTTTTATTCGCCTGTAGACATAATTGATTTTTTACTAACTCATTCAGAGACAATGATTAGTAGACCCTACCCATTCCAGACAGCAATAATAGATGGCCGGCCCAGACGCACCCGCATCAAAAGATTTCACATTTCTCTATATTCGCCACATTTTTATATATTTGTCGCAATAAATTCAATCAAAATTCGTAATGACGAAAGAAAAACAAATTATAATGTGCCGCAAACCACAGTCTAGTTATTGAATATTCAAACTGCGGACGGGAAGAAAAGTGCTTTTATTTGAACCACGTTTGTCCAGATAGAAAGAAAAGAATAAAAAATTGATTTGAGAGCACATTGGAAAGGAGCAGGCGTCAAAAAGAGCAATATCTCCTGAGGCAAGTGATGGCAGTCACCGTCACATCAAACACTGTGTTGCAAAACTAAAAAAAAATAGAGCCATATAAACAAAAGAGACAAATAGCCAGCGGTTGCTTTTGTGCTATTTATACAGGCCGATGTATAAATAAGCTTCAAAGAGCAGAAATTAATTAAAAGTTACATAATAGTTGTCCAGTGCTTACAAAAGCTATGTAAAAAGCCGCAGAATCGAACGAGATGACAAACCTTTTGATTTGGGCATGTACTGTGCTCATTTTCGGTTTGTTTTCACATCGGCTATTCGTCCAAAATCCACGACATCATTGTTCATACTCCTTCATATATCGAAAAATTTGATACCAACAACAGTAAAAACCACGCATTCAGAATATTAAAAGCACACCAATAAAACATCATCACTAGTTCAGATTTTTCATGAAGATATAACGTTAAATGTGGCTAAGCAAATCCTTTTTGTAAAAACTGAAGGTAAAGGCACCAAACGTAATGAAAGGACAACGTCACAATTGAGTTAGGACTGGAGTGTAACTCATAGAGTAATTTCGGATAGGGTACACCGTCTGCTCGTCACGCTATCTTATTTTCGGCCGGATAGATTCGTGCAACTTCTTAGTCTAATACCGATCCTAATCTTACTCTTATACTATCTAGTCTCAGGTTGTTTAACTAGTCTCTGCTAGGCTCAATAGATCTAGGGTATACTGGTTTATTGCGGCTGCTGAAGTGCTCGGGAGAGTCCAACTAATTTCTAAGTTAAATTCAAATCTCTCTGGTGCTGAAATTACAAGTAACTTCAGCACTTACAAATAAGTGGGTTGTTAGTTAGATGGATCATGATTGGTTAATATTAAATACTTTACATTGGTAAAACATTTAATTTATCCAATCATAAAATATAGTTTAGATCAGGTTCCACCCATCCGGGTTTTACAGAGTTTTTTAGAACAGTTCTTTTGTAGTTCAAGGATGGATGATGGACGTTGGTATTTGGCGAACATCATTTTTCTTTTGTTTCCTTTTTGTTAAGGAAGTTCCAGGGATCTGGAATTGAGGACACAAGACGTTGTGTTCTTCTTGTGACAACGACTGAGTCTCTGCAACAGCATCAATTCTGGTTTCAGAATGGTTGGCTATGTCAGGTTTTTCTGTTCTTCGGAGAGAACTTCTTTTGTGTTTGATCTAGCTCGGGAATGGCGTGGAGATTGTGCGTGGAGGGGATGCCTGGTTACTCGGATCTGTACGTATACTTGAACATCGAGGTGGTCATTGGTCTAGTTCAATGAAGTCCTTTTCTGCGAGGTCAAGTCGTACTCTAAATCCTTTGAGTTGTGATTGTGAGCGGCATATCGATTATAGTTGGTCATTCTCTCTCGAGTGTAGTGAGGTCGTCTTGTCTTTTGATGTTCGTCCTTGGTGTTGTATTCTGATCTATATATTGCATCATGTGATTTTACATTTTATAAAACTTTTATTAATTTAATATTTTTTAATTATGATTTTAGTTAGTTGTTTTCACAAAAGCTTTTTGTTTTAGTTCGGTTATTTTGAAGAGTTACTCACCCTTGAGTAGCTCTTATTAAAAATAAAGGTGTGGTCACAAAGCGTGGATGTAGCACGGTGGGTTAGGCCGGCTATAGAGCATGCTCAGGACGTCCTTTCCTGGTGGGTTAGGCCAGGTGTGGGAGTATGATTTCATGCGGTTTTTATGAGGGGTCCTGTTATGTGACAACATTTTATGTTGGGTTTGTTGTGGTTTTACTTATGTTTTGTTGGTTATGTACTTTTTCCAAAAAGCAAATTGTTTGTGGTATGGGTTTGTCTTTTGACTTTTTTGTGTTTTATTATTTCTTTCTAAGACTTTGTAATAGTCTTCAAAAGAATAAATTATCCAGTTTTAAACTGGGTTAATCCGGTTTGGGTACCGTTGGTTTCCTTTTCTTAGTCATGCTGTTATTTTATGATTTGTGGTATTTAGTAAGCTGCGTTGGTTAGTTTTGTTTAGTATATGATTCCTTTCCAACCGGGTTAAAGGAAAGTTTGAAACTTGTTATTATTTGTTAGAGTTGTTGAGTGTGAAAACTTAAAACTGAAATTCATTATTTTAAACAATTTTTCGTGGGCGAGCTGTGCGAGTGTGGATAGAATTTCTGTGCGAATGAATGAAAATATCAAAAGGTTAGTACTGCAATTGCATTTTATTAATTTACTGCATAGAATTTGGAAATTTACTGCTAGTAATGGGGGAATTTTAAGATACAAATTTTCATCATATGTAGATTTACTGCTTTTAGGGGAAAATTTTATAAATTAATTTACTGCATTGGTATTATATTTATTTAATTGTTGGTGCAAAAGTTAAATAGGGTTTTAAATAGTTTTGAAGAAGTTTGCTATTTTTTATTTTTCTTTTGTGAATTTTTCAGATGATTGAAGATGAAGGCTAAAAATCTAAAGAAAACATGAATAAGGAATGGTGAGTTTTTCAATATTTTAATTAGTTAGTAATATTCATTTAGTTCATACTTACCTGTTAGTCGTCGGGGAAAAAACCGTGGGGGAAGATATCGTGAATTAGTTCTGAAGTTGTTAGTAGTTTAGCTAAGATGCGGATGATATTTTTAGTTTGAAGTAGTGGCCAAAGCAATTGAAGTGCCTTAATAGTGGTTAGTTCTTCAGTGCCTACTGCAAACTCATAAGGTGTGTTTTGGATTAAGTTATATAACTTGTGGTTAAATTTAGTGTTGTGGATGAATTCTAAAATGGGGATTTCTATAGGCTGTACAAACTCGTGCGGGATAAGGAAGGGTCGGGATTCTTCTGCGTTGAAGGTCTTGGTGATGGGGCAGAAAATATACATTTGGGTTATGGGGTCATAATTACGAAGAATACCATGAAGGTTAGTATTTTTAATACAATATGTGAAATTTAGGAAATACGGTGAAGTGTATTTTGAATTGATGAATTGAAAGCGATGGTGTGGTTGTCTAGAGGGTGTGTGGAGGTCAAAGTGATTTTGGATGAAACGATAGTAACTGTATGTATGTGTTTGTTTAGTTCGCAACATAATATCGTGTGAGCAGTGTAAATCTCTTTCGTGTGGTGCAAGGAAATGAAAGGTTAGTGAAAAGATTTGGAAGCGTTCTTTAAAACTTTCGTACGCTTGTGTGCTTGTTAGTGCTTCTGAAATAATGTGATCAAACTTTCGGTCGAAGATGTTTAGTGTAAATACATATGGTGTCTTGATGAAAAATTTCTCGGTGATTTGTGGGTTAGCGAAGCGATCGTCGTCTAAGAATTGATCTTGGTTAGCTCTGATGATGTTGTGATCATAGTATTCTAGTGTGTATTCGTTAGCTCTAGGTGCAGTGTGTATTTTTAGTGATTTTTTATATCCAACGTAAGTAAATTGTCTAGCGGTGAGTGGTGTAGTTAGTCGATATAGCATGTCTTTGTTTCGGTCTATATCAATGGATGTGTTAGTTAAAGGTAAGCAAAGAGGGTTAGTGAAATGATAGTATGAGGTCCAAGAGAGAGTGGGCATTAAAACGTATTCGTCTACAAAGTTGCGTGTTTCGTTAGCGTCATGAGGGGTGTTTAAGGTGTATTGTGGAAATGAGGGTAAAGTGATGGCTAAAAATTCTCTAGTGTTAGTATGTTGGGGGTGGTTGATGTATTCTCGGGCTGTTCCTGGTTTTGCTGGGAAAGGATGGTTGGGGAACTTTCTTTTAAAAGTGCGATAAGCTCTATTAGTGTTGAGTGAGGATTCAGTTGATGTGGATGATGGTGCTAATGATTCGGTATAATTTGAAGAGGGTGTAGGGGGATTGGATGAATTTGTAGTGGAGGAGATTTGGTTTATGGTCGGGGTGTTAAGGTGGTAGGGTTGTTGTTGGAGGGTAATAAAATTGTCTAGCTCTGGGGAGATTCGGGGGGTGTCTGGAGATGATTGGTCAGAATGGTATGAGGAGTAGGTTGGGGTAACTTGGGAAGCATAAGAGGGTGTAGGAGTGATTGGGTCAGGGTTATTTGATAATATGGGTTGAAAAGGAGGTTGAGAAAAATGAGAAGGGTTATGAAAATTATTGGATGGAGATGGTTCTGAGTCGGCAAATTCGTCGGGGGTTTCAATATTCGGGTTATTTAGCTGTGAAATGGAGTATAAAACTGAAATTTGTGAGTTAGTGTCGGAATTCATGCCTGATGTTACATTGCTAGATGGAAAATCGGGTGGCGGAAAAGCAAAAAGTGGTATTATTGGGATTGAAGAGGTAAGGTTGGTTGGATGGGAATTTGATCGATGGAGTGATCCAAGTTGGCGGCTCATCGTGGGCTAAAAAAATTATTATTTTGAGATTGAAAAGCGGTGGTATGGGGCTGTTCAATAATTTGTTCATAAGTATTATCATCTTGTGATGGATGTGTCATTATATGTTGGACGGGACTTTGTGATGTGGTGAGTCGAAAATTTGGATTATGTGTGATTGCTAAATTTCTAAAATTTCGCGGGGCTAGGGATAGTGGATGGTTATTTGGTAGGGGTGGTAATTGTGGTGCCGTTGGCTGTGTGTCGACATTGTTATGTTCTTCGTCGTATGTATTTTGTCGTGTTGTTATTTTTGTGTTATATTCTTTTATTTGTGCGTCTAAAAGAATTTTGTTTATAGATGTGGAAAAAATTCCAAAAAATCCTGCAAAGAGTATGCGTGCTACGCTTGCTTGTCTGTTTACTTGTGTGTGTATAGCACATGTATTGTAGATTCCTTTTAAGAGTGAGAAAAGAAATCCAATAAAGTTAAACATTGCGTATAAAATAGTCAATTTTTCTAAGATGTAGTAGGGCCATCCTAGAAAATCTAGGATCTCATTTTTGAGTGTAACAAAGCTAAAAATGTTAATTGGTGATATATCTTGGGGACGGTATTTTTCGCCGTTTAGATATATATAATCTTTTATGTCTTTAAAATATCCGCTATAGTCTTGCGTGTAGATATCGGCAAATCCTGCGGTTTCTGCAAGTTTGCGTAAGTTTTGGTCTATTGATTGTCTTTGTATAGTGTCCATTTGTGTTAATAATTCTTGGAATTGTTGTGTTCTAATGTGATGTTGAATATCTGATTTTGAATAGATTCCTATTGATTGTAAGTCTATATTTGGGTTTCGAGCAATAGCGCGAA